AGGTGGGGCTTCCCTTGCCACTTTTGGCTTTGGAAGGGACCCACAAGGATCACTGCCTTGCCCTGGCTTCTCAGGGTGACCTCCTACCCTTGCACAGCCCTACTCCATCCCCTTTACCTTCGGGGGTCTCCCAGGACACATCTGTGCTCCACTCGCTGTATTGCCCGGAGAAACCTGTGCCCTGCTCCGGTCTGGCTCGCACACGGGCGATGTATCTGCTCCCTGGGATGAGGTGGCTGAGATGGCAATGAGTGGTGTTGGAGAGCAGGCGGGAAGCAGCCTTCTGTCAGCAGGGGAAAGGAGGGAGAACAGGAATCAGTGGTGAGGGGTGGAGGGAAGACAGGGAAGGAGCACAGATGCATCTCAAGCTGTCTCGTACACGTGAAACACTTCCAAGGTGTTTTGCCTTTCTCCCCCATGAGCCCACAGGCTGCTCTTCAAACGTGCTTTGAATTCATGATGGAGGGATGCAGGGTTAAATAAATTCCAACTCAAAACCCAATTGCACTGCTTTTTCACAGTGAAGAATTGATTTTTGCATTCAAGTCAGGACTAGTGGTATTTTATCAGGAAAGTCACTTGCAGACAGTAACAAAGCCTCTTCCACATGGCCTAAATCAGCACTTACTGCAACTCTTCATAGTGCCTGAGAACAGAAAGGCTGCTCATTTGCATGGCACTGACCATAAGCTCTCAACCAGCCACAAGGCTGCAGCCAGGGCCTGGTGAGGCCAGCTCTTCCTGCTCTTACCTCCCAGGACTCCCAGTCCCGCTTGTAAGCAACTTCATACTCCAACGCATTGCTCAGCCCTTGGCTTCCATCAGGTGCTGTCCAGGTCAGCAAGAAGTCCCCTGAACTTTCTCTGACTGAGAGGTTCTGAGGGGGAAGAGGCTGAACTGGAAGATGAAGGTACAACACATGAGATGCAATTGGAGGAGAGAAACATGAAGAGGGGAACAAAACATGAAGTTAAGCTCCCTCAACTTCCCCATTTTCACAATATCTTATCAGTTCCTGCAGTAGGAAGCTGCTTGCTGTGTGTCCCTCCAACATCCACCTGTTCTCCCAAAAGCATTTGAAAGTTTGCCTTGGAATTTATTCCTTACCATTTTGGAAAAGATGAACTTGTAGTTGTGCTTCAAGATTCTGCTTGGGTTTGAAGCTGTAATAGTCATCCACCCCTATTCCAAAATGTTCTACTGTTTTCCAACAAATCCAATGGCTGTAGGGGTCTGAAGCCTCAGGTAAGTCTTCTTCCAGCTCCTTTTGACAATGCATTTCCTCACTGTCACTGTGTGAATAGAAAAAGTATCTATAACGGTCTGATGTGGTCTTATATAGTTCAGGCAAAACTAAATGTCAGCAGATAATTCCAATCCCTAATGATTATCTAGTTTATGTGGGAAGTTATATCCTCATTACCACTGATATCCCCATTTTGCACCTATTACTATTGCTAACATTTTTATCACCATTAATCTTTTATCAAATGTGTTTTCATTTCAAAGTATGCAACATAATATTCTGTTCTCATGTCAGTCTAGTTTTGTTAGCCTCCAGTCTAAGCCTTGATAATCTCACAATTCTATGTGAGAAGTAGTTTGATGGAAAAGAACATCAGAGAAATGCATTGTTTACTTTGAGTGAAAGGCAAGGAAGTTTCTGACGCTCCTGAGCTTCTTGAAGGAATTCCCTTGGCAGTCCCAGGAAGACACTTAAGCATTTTTTTAATTCAGCCAAAATGTACTTCTCAAGCCTTAGCAGTTCTGTTCTGTCAAGAGACCTGATGTATTCATTAACTTCCTCCAGAATGCTAGGCATCACTTTAGATGGCCTTCCTCCAGGCCAAAAAGCATCATCAAGATTAAAAACAATATATTATGGTAGTCAGAAGTAGGCAAGCTTTGTGTGCTTGCACAGGTCTCAGTTGCTGAAGAGATGCAGTTCTCCTTTTTGTACCCTCTGAACTTCTGCATGAGCCTATGAATTCATGCCCATTGTTCCTGTACAGATAAAGCCGTGGCGATCGGAGCTCAGCTACTGTCCTTCAGGACAGCATGAGGTCTCCAAGCCAACCTTACGTCAGCAGGCATTGTTCAGCAGTACTGATAGCTGTCAAAGTTGGGTACTAGTGGGAAAGCTAGGCATTTCTGAAGAAAGGGAGGGACTGATTGGTCATGATTCCTGTATCAGCCACTGAAAACCCTCCATCATAAAACAATGTTCCAGAGCAGACTCCCAACAGCAGAGCAATTTTCTTTCATCTTTTCCTTCCTTCTCTTTTTTTTTTTTTTTTTTTTTCCAGAATAATTGCCCTCAAGGTCCTTTTCCAAAGACCTTCAGCTCATTTCACCTGCTTTTAGGAGTACCAATACTCTCTTACCTACAATAAAATCAAGCGTTCCCTCTTCTCCCTTTCCTTTCTGTATCCCAAGATGCTAATACATTTTCTTCTCAGCTTTCCATCTTTAACTTCCTCTCTATTTGGCCTTTCTTATCCTCACAGCTGATCAAGTCTGCTGATGCTGTTCCCTTTTCATAAGGAAACAGATGCAGCATAGAGATACTCTCATAAACAACCGGTATCTCTGGGAGGAAGATTGATAGCACAGATGATCTTACCCATACCCACACTTTCACAAGCATAGCCTATTCAGGGTCTTCAGAAGTGATCAACACCATACTCTCATTGATGACCCTAAACAGGCAAAATAACTGGGGAAACGTCTCTGCCTGGTAGGTTTATGAATCGCTTCTTCTCAATCTATCTTCTCTACCTCGTTGGACAGCCATCCGCGTGCCCCTTCTTATATCCTATCCAGGATTCTGCTACAAACTTATGGGAAAATTATTGAAACTAGGATCAAATTAACTCCACTGGCACATGATTGGAAGTCCTCCCTTCCCCTTTTTGGGACAGGCATCAGAAGCAAGCGCGACTTTGACTGTAACCCAAGAACAGCTGTCACTTTCTGAAAACCCGACTGCCGGCCCAGAGATTCCAAAAGAGTGTTGTGGCCAAACACTCTTTGGATGTTTTTCTTGCACAGTTCACTTCAGGTACTTACTTTTTAATAACATTCCTTTGGTACAGAGTCAAACCAAGGAGGGCATGAGCCTCGGAGTGTTCCTTCCATGTGCACGTCACGAGTGAGCTGTAGTCATTGTGGCACCTCAAGCTCTCCATCGGAACGCTTTCTGAAATGGATGCCAGCCAAAATAAAGATGCACTGCTTACAAATGGAAATAGTGAGAGCTAGCAGGAAGGACAGCGATTCTGCCATCAGAATGGGAAAGGCATCAAGAACAACACTCTTCTGATGGCACCAAATAATGACCCTTGGTGAAAATACATTTGAAGTTGTGCTCCTTCCCCACATCTCCACAATACCAAAGAGTCAAGCCAAGGGACAACAACGGTGAAGCGAGACCTTTGAGCCTGCAAGACATGTTTCTGGCCAAAGTATCACTTCCAGGCAGAGACAGCTTTCTGGGCATAGTGAATATCACAGTTAGTGGGGATGTGCTGATTATTTCATCTTTGTGGGACTTCTTTGCAACCGATTTCCATACTCTCACCTATTTGTCTGCACCTGCACCTGCACCTGCCACAAACTGACTGCTTTTGATCAGAATGCTTGTTGTCCTACAGCAGAGAGGATAGGAGCAAAAGAAAGTAGAAAATGGGGAAGAGTGAGTCAGGTACAAAGAAGAGAGGAAAAAGGCAGGAGTCAAATAAAAGAAATTATAAATCTGAAACTCACCATTAATGGCTTGGTCACTGAAGGCCAATGACAGATTTAGCAAAAAGATGAAAAACCCTTTCATCTTCACACTGTCCTTTGAAATTGTGTTTTCATTAAAAATAAACGTTTTCATTGCCCACTCTTCTTTTGTCTTGTTGTGGAGCTTCTTGTTTTCATTTCATGTAAAGAGAAGTAAAACTGAATTAGGGAACTTAAAGCGTTGCACTGTAATAGAGTGACATTCAGAAAGACCTCCTTCCACGTATTTACTTTGTAAAAATTCAGACAGAATGTCTACAAAGCCTTTACTGACAGACAAAAACCCAGTTTTCTTATTGTGTGAACCTGCAACATGAGCAAAGAATGAAGAAGTAAAAATGCATATATCTAAGGAAGCACGGGAATTCTTTCAGCTAAAACTCATCAGAAAGTGGCCTATCCTGTGAATCATGTCAACCTGCAAATTCTTTCATCCTTAACTTCTTTATGTTTATATTCTTTTTAATGAACCCCCGAATTAATTCCTTTTCTTGCTTTTCATAAAGACTTATTCCCCACCACATACTTCCTTAGTTTGTGATTGAATTGCTGTACTCATTTGCTTTCAGGTTTCTCTTCAGCATGCAACTGCTCCAGCTACTCCCCAGACAAGCTGAAAATTTTAGCAACAATTTCAAACAAATTATTTCTCTTCTTTTGGGGGCTGTCAAGATCTAGAGTACATTGAGAAGTTCAAAGACTATGTCCCACATTCTTTGGTACCAGAATACTGGCTCTTCTGGCCATCTCTCATTGCTTTCTCCAAAGTATAATAAATATACAGAGCTGAGACCCCTGTACTCAGGGAACATGCAGTCTCTAGCTCTTTTCTACTGTAGAGGAACATGGAGAGATCTCCTTTTAAATCTCTGTTGACTTTCAGATTCCTGAATGTTGCTTATTGACACCAGAAACAGCTGTATGAACCCTCGCATACTCATTGCAAAGCTTTCCCTTAAGAGCTCTCAAGACTTTCCAGGATAGAAGACTGCTATTTTGCCTTCCCCAGAAAGAAGCAGTTCCCTTACCTGCATCCAGAGTTGTCTGTGAGGCAGATGATAAAACCTGATGGATGACCCTTACTGTTCAGCTTCCCCAGCAGTATGAGAATCTTCTGATGCAGCAATCAGCCGCTTGCCTACAAAGGAATCTATAAATGACAAGATTTTCCTGATAATTAAGTCTTTAAAATAAGTACTATACTTTTTATATACCTGCTATACACTGAAATGCCAATTTCTAAGAAGCAGACCACACCCTTTCAGGGAAAGCAGCTGCCTGTAACTGCATTCTGTACTTCCTATTTTAAGCCCCAAAGTACTTACTTAGATGGAGCTGTTAAATTAGGAAGGAAATATGTCGTTGCTAATCCACGTGTTAGTGATTGTAGTACTGGTAGAAGAGGGTTGTGAGCAGTCCTACTGAGATCTAATTGAATGATGAAGGAACTGGGGCATCTCTCCTGTGTGAAGAAGCTGAGAGGGCTGGAACCGTTCAGCCTCTAGAAAAGGAGGCTTAGGGGGGACCTCATCAATGTGTATAATAACTAAAGACAGGATGCAAAGAGAATGGATCCAGGCTCCTGTCAGTGATATCCAGTGCCAGACACAAACTGGAACACAAGCGGTTCTGTCAGAACATCAGAGGGCACTTCTATACTGTGCAGGTGATGGAGCACCAGCAAAGGTTGCCCAGAGTGGCTGTGGAGTTTCCTCCTTGGACATCTTAAAAATCCACCTGGACGTGGTTCTGGATTTTGTGCTTCTGGTACTGTGTCATCTATCATCGTTCCATGGACTGTGTCCCTGCTTCAGTGGGGCTTTGGACTAGATGATCTACAGAAGTTCCTTCAACCATTCTGTGGTTCTGTGAAAAAAACTCAGGCTTGCACTCTATGGGTAAACTTCAGGGGGCTGAGATGAGTCCCCAGAAGCAGAAGAGGACTCCTAAGTCTGTTTGTTCTGCACTGCCACTAGACCATAAAAATCTGATCAAAACCATACTTTGCAGATTTAGCTATATAACGTATTTACGTACTTCAGTGTGCAGTGGGGAAAAATATATATTCCTTGAATAAGGGAAGCAAGTACAGAGCTAGGAGGTTGTGAGAGAATCTGAGGAAACTGTGTCATTTTGACTACTAAGATGTGTTCATATAAAAGCTGTAGTTACATTACTTTACTGGAAGAGCAGAATTTACTTTACATTACAGTATAAATGCAGAAAAGTATTCTCCTGCACTGACTTTCAAAGGCCAGTAAGTTTTTATGGTTCTTCCTCTACACATAGAAAATAGATTTCTTGTTTCCCAGAAGACATTATTCCTTTCTTTTCTTTCTCAGCTCCTCCATCTTCAAACAGACTTGATAAGCCTCTGGTTACACTAGCATCTAGCTGCCCATGAAAACCTTCAGATATTATTAGCCCCGTTGAACTCCTTACACAAATAACTTGTGTTCCTGCATGCCAGAACTTTTACATGCACATTTGCCAATTAGTTTTCAAATTACAATGTATTCTCTTGAATATCACACAATGCAAGATTATTAACATTATCACTGCATGTCATTTTATCTCTATCCCAAACCCTATTGCTACATTGCCTTAAAAGTAAGAAGTTACAGTTTATAACGTTTTGATAAAATAATGTCCATCAAAATCTTACATCACTGGAAAAAAAGATGACAATCTGTGTCTCTCATGAGTATCTTAGAGAATCATGATCACCAGCACAAAGTCTAGTCTGAGGCCTGTAGCTAATGATGTTCTCCACAGGGAAGAGCCTGCTCTTGTTCAACATCTTTGTCAATGATCTGGATGAAGGGATGCAGTCCACTCTCAGCAAGGTTGCTAATGATACAAAGCTGGAAGGAGTGGCTGATACACCAGAAGGCTGTGCTGCCATTCAATGAGCTCTGGACAGGCTGGAGAGTTGGAAGAAGAGGAACCTGATGAGAAACCTAAAGAGGAATGCAGAGTGCTACACGTAGGGAAGAATAACCTCCTGCAGCAATAAAGGTGAGGGGCTGACCTACTGGAGAGGAGCTCTGTAGAGAGGACCTGAATGTGCTGATTGGCAACAGGTTGGCCATCAGCCAGCAGTGTGTCCTTGTGGCCCAGAAGGCCAACAGCATCCTAGGGTGCGTTACAGAAACCATGGCCAGCAAGTCAAGGGAAGTTATTGTCCCTCACTCCTCTACCCTGTTGTGGCCACATCTGGAGTGCTGTGTCCAGTTCTGGGCTCCCCAGTTCAAGAAAGACAGGGAACTTCTAGAGAGAGACCAGGGGAGGGCCACCAAGATGATGGGGACCTGGAGCACCTCCTGTATGAGAAAAAGCTGAGAGCCCTGCGACTATTCAGACTGGGGAGCAGAAGATTGAGGGGGCATCTCATTACTGCATGCAAATATCTAATGAGTGGGAGTAAAATGGCCAATGCTGTGCAGTGGCAGAACAAGGGGACAATGGGCACAAACTGCAACATGGAACATTCCATATGAACACAAGGAAAAAACTACTTTACTGTGAGAGTGACAGAACCCTGGAACAGGCTTCACAGAAAGGTTGTGGAATCTCCTACAGAGATATTAAAAATCTGCCTGGCTTCTTCCCTAAGAAAGCTGCCTACTGTAGGTTCAATGTAGAGAAGATTCTTTAGCAGAGGGTTGGAGTAGACAATACCCAGATGTCCCTTCCAACCCTCACAATTCTGTGATAGATAATCTAGCACTGAAATTGAACATGCCTGGGTTCTTCAGATTGAGCTTTTGAGCCTGAAAAGCAGATGTGTCCTGCAGCATGCAACAGTGCTTTGGAAAAGGAGTATTTTCTTATACAGGTCTGTACACATGTAATATATTGCTGGATCTATATACTTTATAAAGAATCAAGTAAGAAATTTACTGATCTCAATTAAGGAAACTAAATGCTTGCCTTTCAATATAAATTATTTAAATTATTTACAACACAAATATGCACTAATGTAAAGCTACACATAAGTGGGGGAGGCTCAATGGGGAAGTATAGTATAATGCCACAGAAATTAAGAAATGAATTCAAAGTACAATACTTTTTCCTGATTATATTTATGCATGGTGGTATCCTTTTAGCACCATGACTGCATGGTATTTTTATAATACAGTATTTTAGGTATTCTAGGATTTACATAAAGCATACATAACTTCTTATTCTAACAAGCAGCAATAAATTTGTTCAAGAAGAACATTTTAATTGCATAAATTTATTTATTTAATATGCATAAATAAAAGACCAGAAGGTTTGGGGCTTTTTTAAATAACAAACTCCTGCTTAAGAAAAGCTAAATAGGTAACATTTAAATTCTTTCTCCAAGTTCCCTTCTTAAACAAAATTAATTAACTAATTAATTAAAAGAGCATTAATTATTTCACCCCCTCCAAAAATAAAAATTTAAAAATGTAACAGAAACTGATAAAATAAACACATGCATAAGTTTATTTATGGAAAAGTCTGATGCAGTCATTTATTGTTAGTTCTGTTTTGCTGTGAGGGGTTAGAAAGCAGAAGAAGAGAGACCAAGAAAAGATTACTACTTGGACAGGTATCACATCACTTATCCCAGAATGTGGAAGCAAATAGACTGTACAATTATGAGAAGTCAATAAGTAACACTGCAAGTATACTAGATTTGATTTACAGAATTCAAAATATGGGCCAAAGGAAAGAAGAAAGCAAAACCAGGCTGTAATTTCTTTGCTGAAATAAAGTTTTCTTCATGCTTCCAGAACTGCAGTCAGGGACAAAATAAAATAAATAAAATAAAAGCTTATGAAAACATTCTGGGCAAGTAATTGGCTCTAGAAGCAAGGATGGAGATTAGAGCAGATTTTGGGCTCAGGACACTCAACCTTTATTTCAGCGTAACACTGGCTTGCTTTGTGAACAAATCCAGTAATTTTACTTCTCTATTCCTCGCTTTCCCTGGTCTTCATAAAGATATCTCTGTTACAGAGAAGTGCTAAACAGCTCAAAAAGCTAAGCACAGATTTTACATTGAAAGGGAAGTTGACTCTTTTCAAGCTCTGTTCAAAGCCTTGTTAAAAGAAACTGTCTGCAGAGAAGGATTTGTGAGGGATGATGTAGCTACCTACTGGAACTGCTACCCTACAGCACTCATGTTGCCCTAACTGTTTGTGTATCACCTATTCCTGGACTAGTGCTGTAGACACTGAAGTCATCCTTGTGAGTGATGTGCAACTTCCAAGGGAAGAAATGCTTCTCAGCAGACCTCTTCTTGCTCTGAGATACCATGAGTTCAACGTCCTGATCAGAGAGCAGCCGGATCAGATCGCCGTCGAGGTCCCGGTAATTCAAAACAATGTCATGTTGGTCAAACTCCTGCCTGGTAGAAAAGAAATGAATTGATTTCCACAAGTCAAGGAATGCCTGGGAGATGACGCATGATGAAGGATATACAGGCAATCTAATTAATTTTTCTAAAAGTCACATTAAGCCTTGGGTGTTTTGGCATTCTTAATACAGCTAGTACTAAAAATTCTACAGACACGTTCATGCTGGGTTATATTTAAGCTAAGAAGCCTGACAAAACCATCTCCAGTAAGTCCATGTGCACAGCATGATTACTCTGTGAGCTGGAAAAAATTCCCATACATATGAGTTGACTGTGGTTACTCACCACTTTTGCCCTTTTATGAGAGAAGGGCAGGTTAAGGAATGGAAGAATATTTACTCATATCACTATACTGATATTCAATATTCTAATGTTTTGATGTTCAGTGCTACTTCAAACTATTTCAACACTGGTTTTACAAATTATAAGGTAATGTCCTGCATCCTAAAGAAGTATATTAGACAACAGACCCTTGGTTGGGAGCATGGTTCTGATTTTACAGCAAGAAATAGAAAATGCTGCCCAGAACATGTGTGGCATTTGTGTGTGGCATGCAACACTTGCTGACAATCCCAAAGCAAACTGCTGTCTGCACAGATGGGCCTCAGCCAAATCACATTACACACTCTTAAGTGAAACACTTGAAAAGAGTTTCACATCCAAAACATGGTGATGGCCAAGTAAAATGTAGAAAATTTAGGACTGGAAGGGACTTGACAAATGATATTAAATAGGCATCTAGCTGCTTCCACTTACTTTATCAGTTCCATAAGATCTTTGAATAATGGAATGCTGCTCAGATTCTCTTCCACTGATATATCCCTGTAACACAGATAAATCTAATAATTGCATATCATGAAAGAGAATATTGGCATCTCTTCAGCAGAAGCCGGGAAGACTATTTTATTATTACCTGATAGTGCTTACTGTCTCATCATAGAAATAACAGCGTATTTTATTAACTGCGTCTTCCTGCTGTGGTAAATCTTTTATGATCTTCACAAAAGCAGATGGGAAAATCCCAGTGGCATCATTAACTGTTCCCTGGAATTACAGGAAGGGTTAGCATGGAGAAAAACTTGCAATTTTGGTTACATGTGATAAGTTCTGAAATTTAATTAATTTCCATGGAAACAACAGTAAGAATTGTTCTTCTCTAAGCAAGAAAAGACAGACTATGGGAGTGACCTGACGCTATCTCTACACAAGGATTACACAATTGCATAGTCCAAAACAAGGCAGATGAGTGAAACTGAGTGCAAAAAAAAATGAACATCAGATGGTTACTAGGGAATGCTGTGGTGTTCGAGCAAGCAGAGATGCCATATCAACAAACACGCAGTATGTTCTCCTCATCCTTTTTTCAGAACACTGCTGCATTGCCCAAGTTCTCTGTAATTAAGCTGACGTGTGTTGTGGTATGAAGCATGAAGTATATAGCAACTCACCCCAAGGCAAGAAACCAATTAATCGCTGAAATGGAGTTTCCATCTCCTTTCTGCGGCCTTTTTGTGCTCTAATCACTTCCAAAGAATTAAAGGACATTCCAGCAGAAGAAAATGCAAATGAAAACTGAAGTGTAGAGGGCAGGAAATTTGTAAGCTAAAAACCATTACAGGAGAAAACAATTTCAAATTTGGAGTCAAGGATTTCTTCCTGGCTGTGACACACAATTATGATACAGTTTCCCCTTGAAAGAAGGAGAAAGATCCTAAGGACTAGGAAAGCCCCTTTCTACTCATGTAAAGGTATGCCAATAATTCAGTACCACTGCCACAGCCTTACCTCCAACCAGTCTTTGTTTACTCTGCTAAGTAGGTAGATCAAGTCTCCTTTCTTGAAACTGAGTTCCAGTTTACTGCTTCCAGAGAAATCAAATAGTGCCTATGGAAAGCAATAACACTGAAATTATTAATTCAGAGTTATACATGTGATTATTATTATTTTTTTTAATCTGCTCCTGAAGTGCACAGACAGAAGGTAAGCAGCAGAATAGCATGCACTTTGTCAGCGCAGATCTATTTATGAACTAAGGTCACATAAATGACTGCAGTGTGCAGTTCTCACAATTCCTTCTCCTGCTCTGCACACACAAAAATGCTTTGTGGGAGTAGTGAGAGCATCGGGATAAGTGTGGCTCTGAAAGGACTACATGCTACGATTCTAGAAGTGTCAGGACATGGAGCACCAGAGAATTGAAGACACTGAAAACACATTAAAGCAAGTAAGTCAGCAGAGTTGAAAACGATTGACAGCTTGAAATCTTGACAACTTGAAATCCTGAGAATCAAACCAAAAATGTATTATTTCTGTAGTTTTACAGCTTTGTGATTTGCTGCAAAATGTCACAAAGAGCCTTAGGGAGTTTTGGAATTGTGTCCTAATTTAAGGGTAACTAAATGTTCTTTCTACACCTAGCTTTCAGGCTTGTGTGCTGAACTGAGAGATTTGGGAAAGTCCACGAAACTAATGTGTGGTTAAAGTGGAACTTAGATGCCCCCTTCAGGAAAAAAAAAAAAAAAAAAAAAAAGAGGCAAACATATTCCACCATCTTAACAAGCTGTGCTTGAATAATTAAAATTGCTGAGTTATCAAAAACACGCATCTACCCGTTGTCCTTTGAGAACACAGCAGTCATTTAAATGCTCTTAGAAGAGCAAAAATGAAAAGATGTTCCCTATTATTCGGTGTTGTGATGGTTCTTTTGGTCTTGTTAATGCCAAATTTCAGAGCCTCTAAAGGCTGTCTTTTAAG